ATGTCGGCCACATGGATGGCAGATAAAAAACCGAGTTGCTAAACTGCTTTGCTTTATTGCTGCGATATCTGCTTGTGTTTGTTCATGTCCATTACTTGCATTCAGCGATGTAAGGACACTATCCTTGGAAAATAAAACATTAACAGTGTGCGTTACAGTTGAAGGGACCATACAATATGTCATTTATCATCGTATATTTATGGCACTGATGGCTTTTGTGTCTTTATGCGCTTTGTTATCTCTTTATACATGTATTTTAAAAGCAGCGTCAAGATTACACGCCAAAGAAAGCTTTGATGATGTTCACAAAAGTGGTGTAACAGGTTTGAAGCATATAAAACTAAATGTTTTAAATAGACCTAAAGAACTATCGGCTTCATGTACGAAGATAATTGATTCGCAAGAAGTCGAATATAATCCAGATAACAATGAGGGCAAGACAAGAGATAACAGCGAGACTTTAGCCACCTGCTCATCAAACCATATCAAAACAGAAACAACAAATGACAATCATCAGAGAAGATATAAAATTAGACAAATAACACTAGCTTTTATATTAGTGACTGTGTTCTTTTGTATTAGCTATATTCCATTTATATCTCTAGACATCTTTCTGATACAGAGCTCATATCTCAATATAAATAGTATTATTGCAATAAACATTACAATGACCTGTGTATTTATCAATAGCATGGTAAACTGTTTTATTTACAGCTGCTTTGACAGACAATTCAGACAAGAAATACGGGTGTTATATAAAAGGTTATGTCGCAGACGAAAAGACCAACGATCGTATTGATAATACATATACACCTAAGCAAACCATCTAATCGGAATATTTCCTGACCAATACAAATGATTAAGATTTAATTATGATAGTGTCACGTATGGATTTTTGTAGTATATTTTTCGACTTTCACTATGCAATTTACTTTCAGTCTTGGTACAAATTTTTCAAAGAGGATATAATACTATTTAATAATTTAAGAATTTTTCTAGTGACGTTAGAAAATATCAGGAAAGATATGGAACGCTTATTGTTTCCGCTTTGTCAGTCCGTCCCTAAAGTTTATCCGAAATACTCCACTGGTTAGAATCTGTTTGTGACTTTGATATTTCAAAAATAAAAGCGAATAGATTATAACACTGATGATGAAGAACAAAACTTGCTGGAAATAAAATTATTTATTTTCAATTTTTTGTCAGTAGTTGAAAATACAAAATTAATATAATTTACGTGGTGAATGCTTTGATCAAAGGACAATTATGTTCAGTTGAAATTTTGAGCAAATTTGTACATGGGCTTTGTGATACAATAAAGATGAACTGTAGAATTATTTAAAGACACTTTAAGGCATTTTTGTTTGCTTGTTTAAATAGAAAATAATAACTATTTTTATTAGTTTGTCTATTTATTCATGTATTCGTTAAACCGAAAACTCAATGTTTACCGAGATTTATTAGAATGTAGATGTACTTTTATTCGAGGGCTTTTGCAGATGTTAATGCACAAAAAAGGTCAATTAGCGCTTTTCTTGCACAAATGTTTACATGTATGTCTGATTTATAAATTTCACGTTTCATTGTTTTTCGTATAAAGGAACCGGTTTAAACTTGTTTCTTAAGTGGTTAATGAATTTTACCTATTTGAATATCTAAAATGTATGATGTTTAAAAAACTAGTAGCAGTTAAATTGTGATTTTTTTAAATGTTACAAAGAAAATTCTGTTTTGTCAGCCAGTTACTTGATATGTTTTGGTGTCATACTGAACGCCATTTTAAATATAATGGGTATGTAATAAAATGCATTAAATATCATCTCATTTCATCTTATTTTCAAACAGTTCAATTTATGTTTATGACAAATGACATAAATATTCGTAAGTCACATTTATTATCGTTGAGTGGGGGCTATAATTGTATTTTCATTTCAAGCCTATTTCACAATGTTCGATATTCCTAAATACTCAGACACATGGCATCACCTTTTTCTTTCCAACAGGCCATAAATTTCAACTAACATTCTTACAGAAAACATGTAATTCCAATTTACTAGTACGATAAATAAGAAATTTATACTATTGCGAATCATAATTACATTCTCGAAGACATGTCTTTGGGACGTATTATGGTGTGGCGTCGTCTGTCTGGGTCAAATTCAAAGGTTAATGGGCTTCATTAAAGCCTTAATTTTAGTTTGTTTTTTCTATTAGGCATGCGACTATGTTTTATCAAAACACAAGTCAAGTTTCATTTCTTTTACCCCATCAAAATATAAAATCAATAAATGGTACCACAAAACTCATACTTGTACCCGCCATGGGTCTTATCAAAGTACTTAATGGACTGGGTATATGTTATAATATGGTAATCTTTCTAAACTATGTAACATTACGTTAATGACAAGAAAACACATATAAGAGCCTGCAAAGCAAGAGAAAAATGACAATTTAAAGACATCAATTTTTATGACGCTTCAACCTTTTATATTCAAACCAGTTTTGTCTGTGACGCTAGTCGTTTCTGACTAGACTGATCGTCGTTAGACCATCATAAGATTCTGTAGATTAATCTCTGAGTGATGACCGAGTAATTGCATGACAAGTGTTTTATGTATTGACATTTTTATGATTTGTGAGTAGTTGTATGACAGGTGTTTTTGTGTATTTACATTTTCATGATTTCTGAGTTGTTGCATCACAAGTGTTTTAAGTATTTACATTTTCATGATTTATGAGTAGTACTGTGACAGGTCTTTTATGTATTGGCATTTTCATGATTTTTGAGTAGTTGTATGACAGGTCTTTTATGTATTGGCATTTTCATGATTTTTGAGTAGTTGTATGACAGGTGTTTTGTGTATTGTCACTTATTTTTTCATGATTTTTGAGTAGTTCTATGACAAGTCTTTTATGTATTGACATTTTCATGATTTGTGAGAAGTTGTATGACAGGTGTTTTATGTATTTGCATTTTCATAACTTGTGTGTAGTTGTATGACAGGTCTTTTGTTTATTGACATTAATTGTTTCATGATTTGTGAGTAGTTGTATGAGAGGTGTTTTGTGTATTGACATTTTCATGATTTGTGTGTAGTTGTATGACAGATCTTTTATGTATTGACATTTTCATGATTTAAGAGTAGTTGTATGACAGGTGTTTTGTGTATTGACATTTTCATGATTTGTGAGTAGTTGTATGACAGGTGTTTTATGTATTGACATTTTCATGATTTGTGAGTAGTTGTATGACAGGTGTTTTGTGTATTGACATTTTCATGATTTGTGAGTAGTTGTATGACAGGTGTTTTGTGTATTGACATTTTCATGATTTGTGAGAAGTTGTATGACAGGTGTTTTCTGTATTGACATTTTCATTATTTGTAACAACGCTACATTTAATAAAACCTAACATCCTGCTTATGTTACCTGTGAGTCTGTTTTTTTTTGTTGTTGTTGTTTTTTTGTTGTTTTTATTGTTGAAGTTGGGTTTTTTTGTTGTTGTTTTTTTTTGTTTTTTTTTTTACTTTTCACCAATAATACTTTTAAGTTAAATGTCAGATTAAGCTGTGAAGTTTGCCATTCTTACAATATGTACTGAAATGGAAACAGCTTATCAGACATGGGGCAAGTTACTTTTAAAAGTAATGCATGAATTGAACATTGTTCGCTAAATTTTGTTCATGAAATTAACATTTGCATTTCTGTATTTTGAAAATGTAATGCATGAAATTGTAAGCATAATTATTGGTATGCTTATTTCATTTCTTCCTTTTTTATCGATTTTAAAACCTAATTCTTAAATACATACACACTATGTTATAAGAGATATTTTCGCGCGAATAATAACAAAGATACATAAATGCAGTATTCTTTCGAAATATCATCCATTTCAATCTAAGAGTACTTACTTTAAATTACTGGCATGTTATATCAGGAGTGCATGCATCTTAAGTATATAATTGTACAAATCTTGAGGAAAGTCATGACATCAGCATTATATTTATTCATATATCGGTTTCTTTAAGTTAAACAGATAATTAGATAAGAAAACTTTAAATAAATGTCGTAGATAAAATTAATGATAATAATTATGTTGTCATACATGTGGCGTAAATAAACATAAATGTGTAAGGCACGTAAATTGCAATAAACATGTCAGGGGTCTGGTTAATTGATAATTCACATATTTCTGAATTTTAATAATTTAAAAACATTTTATAACATAAACAAGAAAATATAATAATTTTACAACGAGTATTTTAAAAAAATTAACTAAAAAAAAAATACAGCGTAACAATAGGACAGATTTAATCTGGTCTGTCTTACAAAAAAAAGCGCCAACCATTTTGGTGTCCATCGGTCTACAATTTCTCGGCTTCACCAGCGTTTTCGCACTAAACTACAGGCCGAATGACGTCAGATTCCACAGGCGGCTATCCGCACCGTAAGGTCTATAAGGCGACGATGTACATCTGTAAGAGACGCTGATGGAGGACATTGTCGTTTCTAAAGATCCCGACGGTGACATTACGAGTGACTTTGTTTTGGATTTTCATTTTGGTTTTTGCCTTTGTTAAGTTTGCATAAGTATGGTTAAAAAGTGTGATTTTGGGATTTTCACCTTAGGTTCTTCGATTTACTGGTGCACATTTGATTTCAAATATTTTTAAATTATTTTCAGTTGTTAAGTTTGCGTTTTGTATTAAAGTTATGATATATATCTAATGGAGTCGTGTTTTCATGTAATAAAATGCATATAGTTCGGGTGTGCGTTTTCATTGTCCTTAAGTATACATGCAGGTTAGATATATTTTCCTGTTAATACGACGATAGATTACTTACAAATTTCTTTGTTTATCAATAGATAATATTATTGCTTAATTTAATAAACATTTAAATCTCCTTAAACTAACAATTCTTTTGATTATAATTTGTTATCACAATAGTTGCACATTTCCGATGTTGTGTTCCTGTACTGCATCTTATATTTTCCGCTTTATTATGACTATCATGGTCGATCTATAAGTTGCTATCGATTACATTTTAACAAAGTTCATTTATTGTTAATAAATATTTCACCACACAGCTGTTTGAAAGTTTTACATAAAATAAAATGGCTGATGAAATAACCTCGGAAAGTTTTATTCCAGCTGTGATTATTCTGTCCTGTGTAATGGTTGTTGGATTTGTTGGTAATCTGCATGTTATTTTCGTATATGCGTTTCGGTTAAAGCCAACAAACCATGGATTTTTTATTATAGTTCTAAGCATTTACGATATCAGTGCATGTACAGTTCTTATACCTTTCATGATATACATGTACATCAATCCATGGACATATGGCAGTGTTTTTATGTGTAGAATCTCCCGGTTCATGATGGGTTTAATTTTCGATGGATCTATACTCACCCTACTATTAGTAGCTGTTTACAGGCAAGTAATTTTTATGATAGAACACCTCGTCATTGCCGTCAACAATATAAACATTTATGCATAGCATATGTGTCAGTCAAACCGCTAATGCTAGTATTTGTTGAACAATATTATAATTTTATTTAGCAAAACTAATAAAATAATAAAGTGGTAATAATTTATGTATGATTTTGTTTATGGTCTTTTAATGGTGTTATACAATGAAAATAAACATGAAAATTGTAAATATTGTGGATGGTCTTCAATAATGTAGACCCTTGCTATATCTGTTGATAAAATGTATATATGCTTTCTGCATAATAAGTTTATTCTTGACTGACTCTCTGATATTGTTTATTTCAATATACTCTTCCAATAATTAATATGTTATATGCTTTGGAAAAACGGTGTAAACAAGGTAATTTGAGAATATGTGCTTAAATTCTGACTTAGACCTGACTTTTTAACCTCTGATCCCTTTTCAAAATTCCATTTATTTAGTTTCGCCCATTGTTTTCTCGTTAAGGGTACAAACATTTTTTACCTGGGGACCACGTGCCGCTTTTCATGGAATGGCACTAACGTGTCACATCGAAGGTTCCTTGATAACCGCCATATGAACACATATGCGGATGTTTCAAAATTTTACCGGTTCATGGTAAATGTTTAATTCTGCGCCAGCCTGTGTTAGGGGGAGGGGCGTTGACGGTAACTTACACATTCCAGTACCGTCCATGACAAGGCTCAATCAAACCGAGCTTGCAACATTTTAAATCTCGCCGTGTTTGGTTTTCTTCATGGATTCTGTTTTTCTCTTTATTTATTAGTAATATATCATGTCTTAATTTCTGTTTTCATTTCAGGTATAGAAAGATATGTCGTCCACATGGATGGCAGATAAAAAATCGAGTTGCTAAACTGCTTTGCTTTATTTCCGCGATATCTGCCTGTGTTTGTTCATGTCCGTTAATTGTTTTCAGTGAGGTAAGCACACACTCCTTAGGAAATAAAACATTTACAGTGTGCGGTGCAGTTGAAGGGACCATAAAGTATGGCCTTTATTATTATATATTTTTGGCACTGATGGCTTTTGTGTCTTTATGCGCTTTGGTATCTCTGTATGCGTGTATTTTAAAAGCAGCATCAATATTACACGCCAAAGAAAGCTATGGTGATGTTAACAAAAGTGGTGTGACAGGTTTGAAGCATATAAAACTAAATGTTTTAAATAGACATAAAGAACTACCAACTTCATGTTCAAAGATAATTGTTTCGCCAGAAGTGGGATATAACCAAGATAACATTGAGGGCAAGACAAGAGATAACAGCGAGACTTTAGCCACCTGCTCAGCCAACCAAATCAAAACAGAGACAACATATGACAATCTCCTGAGAAGGAACAGAATTCGACAAATAACACTAGCTTTTATATTAGTGACAGTGTTCTTTTGTATTAGCTATATTCCATTTTTATCTTTGCAAATCGTTATGAAACAGAGACAAATGTCCTCTTCATACCTCACTATAGATAGTTATATTGCAATACGCATTACAATGACCTGTATATATATCAACAGCATGGTAAACTGTTTTATATACAGCTGTTTTGACAGACAATTCAGACAGGAAATAGGGATGCTATATAAAACGTTATGTCGCAGACGAAAAGACCGACGATCCAATTAATACATAAAAACCTCAGAAAACCATCTAGTTGGACTTTCAATGATTAAGATTTGATCATGAAAGCGTCACGTATGATTTTTTGTAGTTTTTTTTTTTTTTCGACTTTTACTATGCAATTTATTTTCAGTCTTGGTCTTGCTTAAGTGGTAAATGTCATGTGAATTTTACAACTTTGAATATTTAAAATGTGTGACGTTTAAAAAACAAGAAGCAAGTGAATTGTGCATTTATTTAAAAAAATGTAAAAAAGAAAAAGCTGTAACAAAGAAAATTCTGTTTTGTCAGCCAGTTACTAGACAAGTTTTGGTGCCATTCTGAACCCCAATTTATATGATGGGTATGTAATAAAATGCAGTAAATATTACCTCATTGCATATTATTTTCAAACATTTCAATTTATGTTTATGTGCCTAGTACGTGACAAGTAAATAATTGAATAATACGTTTATAATCTAAATGACAAATAAGTCAGAAGAAACATTTATTATCGTTGAGTGTGGGGCTATAACTGTAACCTCGTTTCAAGCCTATTTCACAATGTTCGATATTCCTAAATACTTGGACACATGGAATCACCTTTTTCTTTCCAACATGCCATTAATTTCAACTTACATTCTAACAGAAAACGTGTACTACCAATAAACGAGTTCGAGGCAATAAGAAATTTATACTATTGTGAATCGTTATTACATGCCCAAAGACATGTCTTCGGGACGTTTTATGGTGTGTGTCTGTTCGTCTGTCTGGATTAAATTCAAAGGTTTATTGGCTTCATTCAATCTTTAATTTTAGTTAAAATTATTTTGTTTTTATTAGGCTTGCAAATATGTTTTATCAAAACACAAGTCACGTTTGATTTTTTTACCCCCATCAAAAAGATAAACTACAAAACTCATTCTTATCCCCGCCATAGGTTGTATCAAAGTACTGAATGGGCTGGGTATAAGTTATTATATGGTAATTTTTCTACACTATGTAACATTACGTTAATGACAAGAAAACACATACAAGAGCCCGACAAAGCAAGAGAAAAATTACAATTTAAAGACATCAATTTTTATAAAGCTTCGACCTTTTATGTTCAGACCAGTTTTATCTGTGATGCTAGTCGTTTCTGACGAATTTGACTGACAAGTCTGATCGTCGTTAGACCATCATAAGATTCTGTAGATTAATCTCTGAGTGATGGGCGAGTAATTGCATGACAAGTGTTTTATGTATTGACATTTTCATGATTTTTGAGTAGTTGTATGACAGTTGTTTTAGTGTATTTACATTTTTATGATTTGTGAGTAGTTGCATCACAAGTGTTTTAAGTATTGACATTTTCATGATTTATGAGTAGTTTTATGACAGGTCTTTTATGTATTGGCATTTTCATGATTTTTGAGTAGTTGTATGACAGGTGTTTTGTGTATTGTCACTATGTTTTTAATGATTTATAAGTAGTTCTATGACAGGTCTTTTATGTATTGACATTTTCATGAGTTTTGAGTAGTTGTATGACAGGTGTTTTATGTATTTTTGCATCTTTATAATTTTTGTGTAGTTGTATGACAGGTCTTTTGTGTATTGACATTAATTGTTTCATGATTTGTGAGTATTTGTATGACAGGTGTATTGTGTATTGACATTTTCATGATTTGTGTGTAGTTGTATGACAGATCTTTTATGTATTGATATTTTCGTGATTTGTGAGTATTTGTATGACAGGGAATTTTATGTATTGACATTTTCATTATTTGTGAGTATTTGTATGACAGGTGTATTGTGTATTGACATTTTCATGATTTGTGAGTAGTTGTATGGCAGGGTGTTTTATGTATTGACATTTTCATTATTTGTGAGTATTTGTATGACAGGTGTTTTGTGTATTGACATTTTTATGATTTGTGAGTAGTTGTATGACAGGTGTTTTGTGTATTGACATTTTCATGATTTGTGAGTAGTTGTATGACAGGGTGTTTTATGTATTGACATATTCATTATTTGTAACAACGCTACATTTAATAAAACCTGGTATCCTGCTTGTGTTTCCTGTGATTCTGTTTTTGTTTTGTTTTTGTTGTTGTTGTTTTTTTTTTTGTTGTTGTTTTTTTCACCAATAATACTTTTGAATTGAATGTCAAATTGGGCTGTGAAGTTTGCCAATCTTACAAAATGTATTGAAATGGAAACAGCTTATCAGACATGGGGCAAATCACTTTTAAAAGTAATGCATGCATTTAGCATTGTTCGCTGAATTTTGTTCATTAAATTTACATTTGCATTACTGTATTTTGAAAATGTAATGCATGAAATTTTAAGCATAATTATTGGTATGTTTATTTCATTTCTTCCTTTTTTAACGATTTTAAAACCTAATTCTTAAATACATACACACTATGTTATAAGAGATATTTTCGCGCGAATAATAACAAAGATACATAAATGCAGTATTCTTTCGAAATATCATCCATTTCAATCGAAGAGTACTTACTTTAAATTACTGGCATGTTATATCAGGAGTTGTATGCATTTTAAGTATATAATTGTAAAGAACTTGACGAAAGTCATTACACAAACATTATATTTATTCATATATTGGTTTATATAATTATAGCTATACTGTATTACTTTAACTTCAACAAAGTTACTGTATAGTGTCAAAGATAATAACTTTCAATTTTATATAATTTGATCACAAATACATACAAAACAAAGATTATCAACCATGGGATGTCATAACTTTTTGTTTTCATGTATGCTTCACAATTAAAGGAGTAACCTCCCTTATACCAATGCACATATGTTTTAAATAAATTGGTTTAAATATGCAGCATAAATACTGAAGCCTTAGAGTATGTCTGCCATAACAATGTTTCATACTACTGAGCAATATGATTTATACGCTTTTTTATCAGCCATTTTTTTAATATCATAACTTTTTATAACCTTGTAAGTAGTAAGTTTTGGCATAGTATCTAAAGCGCAAAAAGACTCGCAAAATTGTCTATATAAGCATTCTATTGCTTTACATGTACTTATTTGGAGGTCAGTAACAAGTATACCTTCAGACATATTATTCCATAAAAAACTATACCCAACTCATTCAACGAAGGGTCCATGAACCTTTAACCAAGTTTAGACAGTTGCATTTGTTGTTTGTAGTCCACATTCAATTTTGTTCCAATAATTTATTATTAACCTCTTCCACATCCGGGGCTCTGTAAAATCCCAAAATTGCGCAGCCATAATTCATATTGGACGAATCATTAAAAATAATGACTTCAGTTTTTCACTGAAACCAAGAGGCATAGCATCAAATAAAGAATTTAATGTAAACAAAGCTTTAAACGTGTGTTCAAATAAAATCTTTAGAGCATTAAAACATTTCCAATAGCAGACAATGTTATACCTAAATAACAAAATATGCTAACAATTATTTTGTATTTATTTTTGTATAATCGTAATACACATAAATATGTTCTTGTCTATTACCTAATTTACAAATCATTACATACATATGATTTACTTCTATTCAGAGATATATTCCATTTTACAAAATGAGCATGTAGTTTGTTCATTAAAGTTTGCACCTCATTTACGGAGTAGGAATATAACAGTGCCATCCAGCAAAAAGTAACATGAAAACTTGCGAATCGTTTTAAGGAATATTCAATATGCACATCTCTATCAAAAAACAACTTTTCCTTGTATCATTTATAAAAATATGAAGGGAGATACTGTCTCGTCTCCCTGCTTTACTAACAAATTGTAAACTATCAAAATAATTAGTTAATTACCATTTAACCAATTACCACATATACACGCCTTTTAACACCTTTTGTCACCCCTACCCTTTTTTTGTCTCAAATGGTAAAAAAAATGCCTTATTTAGGCCCCCAAAACATGTTTTGTTTGAGAAATGTTGTTTAAAAAGTGACCACTTTTTTCGGCGCCGCCCTCTATTCAAAAAGGATACATCAAGGGGTTGCCGGAAGGGGGATGTGCATCGCCAAAAAAAAATTTTGGACTTGTGAGAGGCTAAAAATGGCCCAGGCGTCGATCATAAGGTAACGTGTAACCAAACGCTGGAAAGTCTTTGACTCTATGTCAATCCATTGAGAAGTTGCAGCACTTTGAAATAAATTTTGATGGAAAAAAAATCAACGCAAAATAGATGATTCTTTAGGTAATTTTGAGATGTCCACTCCTCTTTCCCATTGGTAACCGAAAATTTTTTAAGGACTGAGTAGCTTTACAAAATAACAATGGTCCACCTCAACTTTTGTGGCAAGTTTCATTAGTATTGAAGCAGTTTTTATAGTTTTATAGCAATTTGAACTTATAACGGGAGACTTTTCAATGAAAACAGCCATTTACACAAAATGCTCATGTAGTTATGGGGTTAATCATGCAGACACATATTTAAAAACAATATTGTACCATTAAATTTTAGCATGTTTTTTTTAAACTTAAATGATAGTTTACAATAGATGCCATTTTTTTTTATAATCAACAGATGCACAATAAAGTTTCCTTCTTTCATGGCTCTTGAATAATCCTAATTAATGAAAGCCCTGTTAAACAAAATGCAATCAACAGTACTTCGTTCATGGCTATGACCGAAACCCAATTTGAAAGTGAGTTAAAAAACGTCATTACTCTCAATAAACAAACGGCCCGATTATCAAGCAATATATTATCATATTATTGGAACCCCTTTTGTGGACAAAAAAAAGTAATACTTTTGTCCAAGATCCAGAGAAAATCCTTATTTAATACTAGTATATAGTTAAATACTTCACGGTAACGTTACATTTCTCTTGGGAGCCGTTGAAACTTTCTTGCGATTACAGGAAGTAAAACTTGTTTTGACATTGTGCTATTTGCACTATAACATATTTACATTTTACATGTAGTTATAATAGTAATACATCTTATGATCATACACATGCCTTATAACATTGGTGCATCTTTAACTTAATTGATTTACATTCAAATAGAATCTTTATATAGTGTCCTTCTCTCAAAACTTGTTTAAAACATGTTCAGTAAAAAAGCAAATCTTCGTCTCAGGATACGTTCAAATCTAAATATTTATGAAATCCTTAGAATCAATCGTTTAAAGAGAAAATGAACCATGGACTGGCAGACAAGATTGCACAATATTTTTGCAGATTACCTATGACTATACATGTGATGAATAAATCGATCAATCAGTTACTTTAACACGATGATTAACATCCAAATGCTATTTTGTTTGTTTGTCTGTTTTTGTTGTTGTTTTTTATTTCCCGTTGTTGTTGTTTTGTTGTTTTATTTTTAATTTTTTGTGTATGTTCGCTTTTTTTTGGTATTTTAATTGATTTTTTTACACGAATACTCGGCACATCGCAGCCAGGAACAAGAACCATCGTCTCTGGATTTCCACCACAGAGGCCATTGTGTTTTTATAAATGCATAAGATATGAAAAAGGCTACTTCAATATAAATTCTAATGCATTGTCTCTTTAGTATGTCTAGGTCAAGAGGGCTTTAACTGTACTAAATATACCTGGTTATTACGTGCAAGTTTGTAGTACTTTTCCTGTCTATGTGACGATGAATTAATAATTGTTGATTTTAATAAATATTTATATTTTCTTACACTAATCAACGATCCATTTCCGATGTTATGTTCCTGTATTGCATGTTTTCATTCTTTTCATGATTTCTCCTGTATTATAACTATCACTATGGTACATTTAATTGCTATCGATTACATTTCAACTAAGTTCTGTCACCGTTAACTGTTGAAAAATTTTACATAAGATAAAATGGCTGATGAAATAAACTCGGAAAGTTTTATTCCAGCTGTGGTTATTCTGTCTTGTCTAATGGTTGTTGGATTTGTTGGTAATCTGCATGTTATTTTCGTATATGCGTTCAGGTTAAAGCCAACAAACCATGCAATTTTTATTATAGTTCTGAGCATTTTACGATATCAGTGCATGTATTGTGCTTATTCCTTTCAGGATATACATGTACATCAATCCATGGAATTATGGCAGTGTTTTTATGTGTAGAATCCACACGTTCATGATGGGATTAATTTTCACTGGATCAGTTTTCACCCTTCTATTAGTAGCTGTTTACAGGCAAGTTATTTTTATCAAAGAACACCATTGACATCAATATAAACATTTATACATAACATATCTTATAACCAAACCGCTAATGCTAGTATTTCTTGAAAAAATTTTTTTTATAATTTTACTTAGCAAAACAAATAAAAAAAAGTGGTAATAATTTATTTATAGTGTTTGTTTTGTTGGCTTTAAATGGTGTTCAGAGTGAAAATAAACAAGATAATTGTCTATATTTTGGATGGTCTAACATGATGTAGACCTTTGCTATAACTGTTGCGTAAAAATGTACTTAAACATTTCTGTTATTATAAGCTTATTCTTACCGACTCTCTGATAATAATCTTCTATTTAATCAATTTCATATGCTTGGAAAAAACAGTGTAAACAAGGTAATTTTGAGAATATGTGCTTAAATTCTTGACTTAAACCTGACTTTTTAACCAATGACCCCTTTTCAAAATTCCATTTATTTAGTTCACCCATTGTTTTTTCGTTTTAGGGTATGACATCTTTTTACATGGGGACCATCTGCGGATGTTTCAAATTTTTACCAGTTTATGTAAATGTTGAATGCTAATGGGTGTGGACGGCACATTCCAGTCCGTCCATGGACAGGCGAAATCAGACGGGGGCCTGCTCACCGTGCTGGGTTTTCTTTTCTCCTTTTTATTACTAATATATCATGTTCTGTTTTTTTATTATTTCTGTTTTCATTTTCAGATATAGAAAGTTATGTCGGCCACATGGATGGCAGATAAAAACCGAGTTGCTAAAACTGCTTTGCTTTATTGCTGCGATATCTGCTTGTGTTTTGTTCATGTCCATTACTTGCTTTCAGCGATGTAAGGACACTATCCTTGGAAAATAAAACATTAACAGTGTGCGTTACAGTTGAAGGGACCATACAATATGTC